GGTGCAGCAGCTAGCGATGGAGTTCCAAGACCTTCGTCATACCATTGAGACTGTGGCAGAGATCATCGCCAAGTTTCGAGAGAGGGCTCTGTTGGTTCCGCAATACTCTGCAGATGAGGAGATGAAGAATTCATGGTTGCCTTCTAGATCACCATCTTCTTCACAAAACACACAATAAAACACTCCAATGCTTCAAAATCCTCACAAGATGGCGAGGGTTATAGGTTGTAGGCTCATCAGGGTGGAAGTTGATGATAAGAAGGACCCCAAGGGGTTAGAGTCGTTAAATAGGGTTCAAAACCCCGAAATAAGGGTTTTTACTTCGCACAGTTACACGTTGTGTAACATAGGCTAAGCCATGTGTATTCCACTAATACCTCATCCCACACTACGTCTTGCATACTTAGAGTATGCCACGTGTAGTGCAAAGATCACATTTTCAGCTCAACTTCAAACATCTATAACTTTTTCGTTTCAACTATGTTTTTGGTGTTCTTTATATACACAGAAAGGTAATGAAAATCCCCATGATCGTATCTAGTTACTTTTTTCTTAACACATATCGAACTAAAATCCTAATCCATGCAAAAAACCTAACATATAAATTTTCCCTTTCTACCATTCGGTCCAGCACATAAATCCAGAGATCAGATCCTATGACATCCCCAAAATCACGGCCAGAAAAGACCGATTTTGTTTATGCTTTGTTTAAAAATCAGAGTAACATTTTAAATATAAGTGTTGCGGAATTTATTCCTAGAGAAACATGATAACCGCGTTATCAAAGCATTTCTAAAGAATTATATTTTTATTCACTTTTAAAATATTTGAGATGTCATCGTCAATACAGGAACATAAGCATAAACGGAAATTACATTTATTTACACTAGTGATCTACATCTCTTTAATCTCTCAGTGTAATGTCACTTCATATCGACACCTGTGATATAAATAAACTGAGTGGGTCAGGTTGGGAAACCTGGTGAGTACATAACGTTTTCAACCCACAATAATATAATTATTATGTTTAATCATCAAACAGTTAACCCAATTACCCATCCCCATTATCTTCTTTATTCTTAAGGATCTACCGTAAGAATCAGCTATTTCTTGTTCATTCATTCCTAAGGAGTATCCTAAGGAATAGGTGCGAATTCCATCGTTGTAAATGACACATCTGTCAAGCACAACTGCTAGTTCTGTCACTTAGGCGCAACTGCCAAAATTGTGACATTCTCTATGGGGCGCATCTGCTGGAATAGTCCTTTTTGGCGCATCTGCCGGGGTCATGAGGTTCTCTATTAGGCGCTTCTTTCGGTAGATTCCTTTAGGCGCATCTGCTAGGGTTTTATTGACAGTATCGTTTTCGAGAGTCCACTCGCAATACATATCAATGGGTTTTTAGAGTACACCTGGTGAATAAACAGTTCAAAACTCCTACAGGTTGTGAGCCTGCTAGTGTCCACTGGACTGTCTAGAATAGTCCGTGGTTATCATCCATACTCTGCTGGATGACGGGGCCATCACTTGGGTAAAAGGATTCTCTCATGGTTCACCTCTCACCCTTACCTCATGGTCTATATCACCTCTTCATCATTTTATTTTTTTATCACACAGAAACTATTTCATCTACCCATGTTTTACCCAACACATTTTGTAGATATAAAATACATATACTGTTTAAATCATTTAAAACGTGTATAAAATCGTTCATCCAATATAGATAGCAAATATACACATAATATGCACACACAACACATATAAAATACTTCATATCTATGTGTAAGCTGAAAATAACTATGCACTCACCTGATTAGGCGGTGACTCGTCACTCGGACAACACTTTGTTACTCTTAAAACAATTTCCTCGACAACACCTAGTATCAATATGACTAGGGTTTAGTCTGACGTTAACCGCGACTAATTAATAGTCCAACTATTATTATTATTATTATATAAACGTTAAATAACACTCAATATAACTCATAATAATAGCCCAAATAATTATTTTAAGGTTCTAATAATGTTACTATAATTAATTAGAAGCTATATTAAAAATAGTGTAGGCGTAGCTCACTTACAACGGGTTTTTCGCAAAAACTGGGCTTCGCTGGAGCAGCGTTCTTGATCTGAAAGGCTCTTTTTTCTCGGGACTCCGGGATCCTCGGAGATTCCTTCGGGTGCTAGGGGGTTTACCTAGGCTTTTAGGGGGGTTAGGGGCTTTAGAGAGAGAAACTAGAGAGAGAAAGAAGTGTTTAGAAGGTGTAAAAAATGGAGAAACCCGACACTCTTATTTATAGGGTGAATTCCTGACGGACTCGCAAAGTCGGTTCACTGCCTCGCCGATTCAGTGCCACGTGTCATCATCTGATAGCTTTTCCTGGGGAGAAAGCCTTGGCCCATATTCAACCACGTCACCCCTTTTGCAGCAGCACCCTACCGACTTCTAAACCACGTAACTTTCGCATATGAGCTCCGTTTTCGATGTTATTTTTTTTCCATGCGTAGGTAAAATCAAGATCTACAACTTTCATTTAGACTCCGTTGGCTAATTCTCGACCGATCTTAAATTTAACAGTAGGAGGCGTTTAGACTGTTAAATGACCGCGAAGAATTCGTAAATCCTTCATACGGACTCCGTTTTCGTCTATCTTTTTACCGTTGAGTTTCTATTAATGAGATCTTCAACTCTCATTTAGGCCGCGTAAGCCAAAAGCCACTCGAACTAAAATTCGAGTTTCGGGTCGTGCACTGCTAAGCCGAATCTTAGAAAAATCATAACTTCCTCATACGAAGTCAGATTTGGGCGTTCTTTTTATCGACGCTCTTAGTTTAACATATTCTACGACTTTCGTTTAGATTGCTAAGGCTAAATCTCGCTTTATCTTAAATTCACTATTTACGCTTCCGGGTGCTATGCCGCTTTTGCCGTAAAACTTCGACGGGCCATAACTTCTTCGTTATAACTCGGATTTCGGCGTTCATTATATGTACGGAAACCTTGTGACATATTCCACATCTTGGTTAAGATTATTTATTCTAAATAATCTTTTGTCGAAAAGTCGTTTCGACCCGTATTGCCTCTAAATTGACTAGCTCGGATCTGCGGGCGTTACAGAACCCACAACCAATGTTATAAATCTGTAATAAGGTCCAACTTTACTTTCTCAAAGTCAAAAGCCTTTTCATGATCGAATTTCGGTCCACAACCCCAAATTAAGAAATGATCCAAAATATGGTTTTACATCATGTGACCTTGACCCATCGTCTCAACAACCTCGGTTAACAAGTATTTCAACACTTAGTATCTAGTTATTTAATTCCATTAAATCTTCTAAAATATGTCAACCTTTTCGTTTTAGGAAACATATTAGATGACCATGTAGTTTATCTAATTCATTAGCATATTCTCCATTTCAACTTATTCTTTTCGAGGACTTATCTAATTCAAAGTATTAGTGGTGTTAAATATTATCTAAAATTTTCAGATCATAGTTGTCATTTTCTTTGGATGTATATCAATATATGTTATGTGCCTAAGGGTTTTTTTTTTTTTTTTGGCAATGTTTGTCGATTTTTGCTATCATGTTAAAAAAACAATCCTTTCTATGACATGTGAGGAATCTGACAACACCTAATTTCATAACTTATGTGATTTCAATGGCATCTACATTCACTTTTCTTGTCCTCACACCTCCCAACAAAATGGGATGTCCGAAATTATGTTACACACCAATTTAGGATCGTAAACGAACCAAACGAATACGAACAATGGCTTGTTAATGTTTGTTCGTTTAAGTTATCCGAATAAATGAATCAACACAAACAAATAAATGAATGAGTTTTCTTGTTTATGTTTGTTCATTTAAAAAATTACATTGTTCATATTCGTTCGTTTATGTTCATGAACATGCTAAACGAACATAAACGAACAGACATAAATGAACGTAGATAAATAAACATATATGAACATAAATGAGCATATAATATAGTAATGTAATTAAACACAGTTAAACATTTATGAACATAAAAGGAACTTAAATGAACGAACATAAATGAATGTTCACGAACACAATTGAACGAACGAGACTATTGTCCATGTTTGTCTGTTTAACAAAACGAACGAGAATTTATGTTCATGTTCGTTCATTTAATAAATAAACGAACATAAATGAACTTCCTGTCGAACGATTGATGAACAATTCTCCAAATGTTCAGTTCGTTTATAATCCTATACACCATTAACAACACATTTCGCACCCTACACTTCTATGCTCATTAATAACACAGTTGCCTTCGTCAAAAACTCTCTTCAATTTTCGACAACTCTCAATATTGATTAATTCAACAAAGTCCTAGAGGGGGTAGTGAGCTGAGGACTATGGAATGACATTGGTAGCTCTTTTAGTAAATAACTTTAATCTCCAAAACCTATTCATAACAATTGGAAAATAGTTTCAGCCTTAATTTGGGGGTTTCGCCCAAGAGCATTATGCCCTAACACCAAGGGGTCTGAACTCAAGAGTGTGTATGAGATAGAGAGTGAGAATGAGAGAAAATGATTGCTTAATGATACCTCCTATGAGGGTGGTAGTTATAATATTGGTATGTGAGAGAAGGTATGTTCTTTCGTGTAAGATACAATGACCATGGAATAGTTAACACCTACCTAAATTAAACGAATTTAGTTATGGATAGGAATGGATTTGTATTCTTATAACAACTCTTAGATTCTTTTGATTCAACGCTCCATAATCATTATCATATTCTCATGGTACTTATCATTTGCTTATGGTTCTAGCCACACAAACACATACATACACACACATGTAAAGGAAATAAACCTGACATGAATTTAGTTAATAGGTTTCTAGTTTCTCGTCTAAACTAAAAATTTACATTCTGATTGGATTATCCCGAGTAAATTTCCTGATACCCAGGCAAAAAGAGGGTCGAAATCACACGACCCAATTCGACATTCAAGTTCTTGATTACCATTACCATGTTCGTGTCCGACTTTTTCCAACAAATGAGATACATGAATATGATGGAGCTTCATGTACAACCAATTCTACATTATAGCTAAAATAGCTCTTGTCAACTTTAAACTCATATTTGTTCGACAATCAAAAGTTAAACATCAATCGAAACACATTGTCGTTATGAAAACCTACAAATAAACAAATTACATTTTTGTTTATGAAAAATCTAATTAATTAGCAGCATAAATAACATATGTTCCTTGCCCTTGATCCATCTCTATCTTCAAGGCCTCGCATGAATGACTTGATTGCTAAATGTTCCGAGGCATACGTCATGAAACATGCAAAAATTAAACCTCCAACACCCATCAAACTGAACCTATAAATGTCAAAACAACACCAGAAACCATTAAGTTCCAAAACTATAGCACTTTCACAAAAGTAAAACCCTTTCAATATATACCTCAAAAATAAAGCCGTAATCCCAAAAAGACCAGGTGCTAAAGGGGCAGCAACAGCCAAAAACGCCATCACTGACCCATAGTACCATGGTGCAACATCACAAGATACCCTCTGATGACCTACATTAAAACCAAATACATTCAAAGTTTATTTTTAATAATTTAACGCCATTTAATTTATTTACTATGATTTCGGATCATGATAGTTAGAAACAAAACCTTTTTCAGAATCATAATCTGAAGCTCCTGGACGTGGGTTTCCTGTTTGATTTGCCACCATCTTTCCCCATTTGTAAATTATGTGCAAATAAAATCCAAAAAGTAGGAAAAAAATTGTAAAAATCCACTCATACATCAAAAGCAACCCAGTCCATGGCTTCACTTGCCTAGGCACAACCGAAATACCAAATCCAAGTGACACCACCGCAACCATGAAACATATTACTACAGAAATTCCACCAAGAAAACCAGGCACCATGGAGTGTGCACCATTAGAGAACTACACACGATCACAACCCACAACCTTTTAACATATTATAAATAAAATAAAATAAATCTGAATTAAATCGTATTGATTTATAATTAAAGAGAATAATGCAGAACTAATTAAACCTGTTGATTAGAGTTAATGGTAGATGAAGATACTGCAGAATAAGCAAGCGCACCCCCTGATCTAAATTTGTAGTATATATGTCTAGCGTGATCGCATAAAGAACGCGTCTATATATATAATAACAAAAATGATCCCAGTTAATTTAGATGATGAATATAAATTTTATGAAAAGGAAATGAAAGTCTAATTACCAGAAGAAAAAGATCGATAGTAACAGAAGAGTAAAATGAAAACTGGAAACCAGAAAAGAAATTTGACTAAAAGATCATCATGGGGATTTCTGCCTCCTCCTGTTCCTGGAAGAGATTCTTCTAGATGTTCTCTAACATCCTGCCATATATCTACAGGTTTTAAAAGCCAAGATGTCCACCAATCCCATGGTTTTAGAGGTCCAAGTGTATAGTGTATAACACTAATTTCTTTCTCATCTACCATCCACTGTTACAACCAACAATAAAATGAATCAAGATATTAATATGATTGCTTAAATCAATACTTTTTTAGTTTTTACCTTGTTAGCAATCATGTAAAGTCCAACATCTGCATTGTAAATAGTAGAAAGTCTTTCCATTTCCGCAACTGGTCTAGAAATGGTAGGGTCAAAAACACGTGCACTTGGGAATCCAGAATAATAGGCATTCAAGAAACCCTGATCACCTATTAAAAGAAACAAGAAAAGCATTGAGGAAACTTTTATCACATAACTCACTGATTATGGATAATGGAAATAATTGTATATTTACCTCCTGTATATGAAAATAATGTGGTAACTTTGCTAATCATGTCTTTGAAAAGTTTTTCAGATGGTTCTACTACCATAACACCGGAGTTGAGCCTTTCTGAATGTTTTAAGTTAGCACAAAATTTTCCACATTTGAATAGAATATCTATGTTCTTGACTACGATTGTATCAGCATCAAGATACACGACTGCATTAATTCATAAAAATATCTAAAGGGTTGATAAATCGATAAATGTGTTCATCATTAAAAGAAGAGTTGGAAAACCACCTTTGTCGTAATTGGTCATGTTGAATATCTTGAGCTTTGTGTATACACCCCAAAACCTTGTTGGCCGAACTTGATTAGGGTTCTCTAGTAGACTTATTTGATTCACAATCCAACCATCTGCCTACAAAGATAATCATATAAACAAGATAAGCCAAAACTAAGGAAGGAACAAGAGTTTGATAAATTATTATGACAAAAAACACACATAATTCATATACAGAAACTGCATGGTGATTATTGCAACAAGAATATAAAATCTATGAATAATGTTGAAGGGAAACCTGGAGAAGACTCTTGGCGTAGTCAGAAACGCCATCAGAGACCAAAACGACCATGTCTTTGGTGGATCTGGTATCCCGAATAGACTTCCCAAGAACACGTGCTCCTAACATGAATTCATCTCCATATAAAAGAGTTACATACGCTTCTTTAGATTCCGCAGACGAAGCTGTTCGTGGATTATGATTAAGAGATAATAAAAGAATCAATCCAAATCTAAACCGAGAAAACGCGTTCAATTTCATCCTCTTGGAATATAATTTAACAGAATGGCGAGGAGATTGGAAATGAGATTTTCAGGTTTTTCCAATGTATAATTGCATGAAGCATTATTATGTTTGGGGAGCCATGCGTTGATTATGAAAAGGGTTTTTGGAAGAAAAACAAAAGATCCCAACAAAATCTGGAAGGGAATTGGAACGACAATCTTTTTCTTACTTTAATTGGTTTGGTGGTTTCTTGATTTTTCTTTGCTGATCTTCCGAAATCATACGTATCTGCAGAAAGTGGAATTATGTTGCCTCGTCTAATTTACAAATGGGTCAAACTACAAAAACGGTAATCAAACCCACACGAAAATGTTTTCTTCTCTTTCAAATGATATTTGACAAAACCACAAATGATGTGAACTTTGTAATTCTTTAGAGGATAAAATATAGAAAAATTATAATGTATATATTTATCATTTTATTTATTTATTTATTAAACTTACTTTATTTCTAAATCTACACCGTCTAATTTACAAATTGGTCAACCTACAAAAACGGTCACACAAAAAAAAATCTCTTTCAAATAACATTTGACAAAACCACAAATGTTGTGAACTTTGTAATTCTTTAGATGATAAAATACATAAAAATTATAATGCTTGTATTTATTTATTTATTAGAACGACTTACACATACTACTTTAGTTCTAAATCTAGACTTTCATTCATAACCGGACTAGAATCGTTGGCTAAAAGACACTTATCCATCAACTCTTCATACGGTTAGGTCAAAAGTCTTTTAGTATATATTTATCATTTTATTAATTCGGTCTTTAATTTGTTTTAACGTATTAAAAAGAAGTAATTATATCTACTTTCTACACAGTTACATAATTACAATGATAAAACATAATGGTGTAATTACTAAAAAAACTTATAAAAATACATTGTATTTTAAGTATTTCAGCATCTTTTAACATTTTTTTATTAATCAAAATATAAGATTATTTATTACAAACTATATGTCTAAATCAAATCGATAATTTGATTTCAATCAACACCAAGAGGGATTTTTTGCCGGGTTAAATTGTGAGTATTAGACTATTAGTGGAACTGCTTTTGATGTATCTAATCTTTCGTCAGATGGTAGGAATGTTATTAATTCTATTTTGAGGCATTTGTAGGGGAACTCCAAATAAGGGTTGGTGTCTGCCAAAGTGAAGTTATTATGATTCATATCGATTGATCGTTACGGTTAAAGCAATGAATGAAGCTTTGTTATTAAAGCAATAGTTAGGAATAAAAAATTGATAAAACACACAGCAATAAAGATGCCAATAAAATGATCGGTTAATCAAGTGACAAACTAGAGAGATGTTTTATTATAATCCAAACTGTCATACATATTTTCTGTCCGATTACAGAAATACAATGAAATCTATTCAATAATGACATGTTGACATTGCTTGTGGGCCAAACCTAAAATGTCATGGTTTATAAGTCCGAACACAGCATTAGCGAGACACTGGTAGTAGAGTTAGCCCGTTTAGTGGGTTGCATGGACCCAACTTGAAAATGGGTCCACCATATTTATGCTAAAAAATTCTCCAAATATTCACATTTTTGTTAAAAACCTCGTCTTTGGTATTCAATTTTAGATTAAATAGTTTCTATAGACATTTTTTTTACTAAAAAACCTAAAAATACTTTAAATTTTCAGAATTTTATATGATTATATATATTTTTTTATTAACAATGGACCTCGATTAAATTTGGCTAGGCACTCCAAAAGTTGAGTTCTCCTAAGTATTTAAATGATTCGATTCCAAATTTAGATAATACATTTGGACTATTAAAACAAGTTTTAAAGAAGAAAAAAAATAAAAGATTCGTTCATATATTGCCTTCAACCTTGATCTAATTCAAGTTCGGCCAAAGAATGAAAGCACCGCAGCCGTCGGTGTAATCGAACGGCCAATCTTTTTGTTGATGGAAGGAAAACGATAATAGAGCAAGCCATTAGCCATGGTAAAGACATGGAGCAGATTAACGTCCACTTTTCGCAAAATTCTATTACCCGAACTGCAGCTTAGCAGACCTTATTCAAAAATATTGCCTGGGGTTGCCTCCAACATCCGCATACTAAATAACAAAATCATAAACTTGATTCGAAACAGTAAATTGGATGACGCAAGGATGTTGTTCGACAAATCAAAACAGAGAAACACGGTAACCTGGAATTCAATGCTGAGTGGATACGTGAGACGGAGGGAGATAGTGAAAGCACGACAACTGTTCGATGAAATGCCTGAAAGAGATACCGTGTCATGGAACACAATGATTTCCGGATACGTTGGTTGTCGTTGTTTAAATGAGGGAAGGATCTTGTTTGACGAAATGCCATGTAGAGATTTAGTTTCTTGGAATACGATTATTAGTGGGTACGCAAAGAACGGAAAGATGAATGAAGCTTTGAGGCTCTTTACTCAGGCGCCAAATCGAAATCCTGTTTCTTGGAATGCTATGGTTACAGGGTTCTTACAGAATGGTGATTTGAAGAATGCCGTTGAGTTTTTCAAGAAAATGCCTGAGCGAGATGCTGCTTCTCTTAGTGCACTTGTGTCAGGTCTTATTCATAATGGGGAATTAGATGAAGCTGAAAAGATTCTGCTCGATACTTCATTTGAGAATGATACAATAATGGATAAGGTGCATGCTTACAACACTTTGATTGCTGGGTATGGAAGGAAAGGAAGGATCAAAGATGCTAGAAACATTTTTGATCGAATTCCATCTCACCATGATCATGGAAGAGCTGTGAAATTTAAAAGAAACGTGGTTTCATGGAATTCTATGATCATGTGCTATGTGAAAGCTAGGGACATTCTCTCTGCTAGGGTTCTATTCGATGAGATGATGGAAAGAGACACATGTTCTTGGAATACAATGATAAATGGTTACATAGAAATGTCTGAAATGGAAGAAGCTTCTAATTTGTTCAAAAAAATGCCAAACCCCGATGTATATACATGGAATTCATTAATCTCAGGGTTTGGTGAGACAGGTAAACTAGAAATTGCACACGAGTTGTTCGATAAAATGCCTGAAAGAAACCAGGTTTCATGGAACTCCATCATATCTGCTCATGAGAAAAACAAAAACTATAAAACAGCAATAGAGCTATTCATAAACATGCAAATGGAAGGAGAGAAACCAGATCGACACACATTGTCTTCCATTCTTAGTGCTTGTTCTGAACTTACTGATATCCAACTAGGCATACAAATACACCAAAAGGTGATAAAGATTATGACACCAGATGTTCCATTAAACAACTCCCTTATCACCATGTATGCAAGGTGTGGAGCTATAACACAGGCTATGGCTATCTTTGAGGAAATGAAATCATATAAAGATGTAATTTCCTGGAATGCTATGATTGGTGGATACGCGTCTCATGGGTATGCAACAAGCGCGTTACAACTTTTCGGTTTAATGAAGGAAGAGTTAGTGAAGCCAACATATATAACATTTATATCTGTTCTAAATGCATGTGCTAATACTGGTTTAGTTGAAGAAGGGCGTATGCATTTTAAATCCATGGTTGATGAATTTGGAATCGAACCAAGGGTAGAACATTTTGCTACCCTTGTGGATATTTTGGGTAGAAATGGACATCTTGAGGAGGCTATGGATGTAATTAGAGGGATGAAAATTGAACCTGATAAGGCAGTGTGGGGTGCTTTGTTGGGTGCTTGTAAAGTGCATAATGATGTTAAGTTAGCGCGTGTTGCAGCTGAAGCATTGATAAAGCTTGAACCTGAAAGCTCTACAGCGTATGTGTTGTTGCATAATATGTATGCTGACATTGAACAATGGGATGATGCAACAGAGGTCAGGAGGTTAATGGAGAAACATAATATAAAAAAGGCTGCAGGATACAGCCTTGTTTAGAAGCTGAAGAACTTGTTTCACACCTCATCTGTTGGCTAATACTTATTTTGAAATTAGCTCATCAGTGGGGGATTTGTTCGTTTGTCACATAGGTGTGAGTTTTATTAAAGTTATCATTAAGCATATTATGAATATGATGAACAAAAGAAGCAATAAAATCGACCAAGAACACGAGAATTGGGTAACCACAAGGCATGGCTTCTTGTATTAATAAAATCAATGAAAGAAGAAAGGTTTTACAGGCTATTGTTGTTGTACTCGTTGTAGTTAACAATACAAGGGAGAGATAGGAGACAATGAAATAAAGAAAACTATGACTAGAAAAAAAAAAAAAAAAAAAAAAACTTTATTTATAGCTTTGTACAAAGAATCCTGATGATCCTAAAACTTCTAAATAAAAGGAAATAATGTCATAGATTTAGTTATCTTGGAAACCACGTAAGCACCCCTTGTGCAAAAAAACTTGGAGATGAATTCCATCTTCAATGATAGAACTTCGAATCTTCTTGAGATATTGAAAAATACTAGTGCCAAAAGTTACTAGGGACTTCAACTTGAATACTAATCAAGCTTGAACAAAATTCAAACTTTGATACTAGAAGCAACTTATCATCATGTGGGTGGGATTGTCATTTGTACTCATCTTGTTAACCTATCTAGAATAGGGGTGATAATTGATAATACGACACGATAAAAATCCACGAAACGAAACAAAATTGGGACGAAATTGAAATTCAAATTCGTGTTTGTGTCTGTGTCAAGTGTAAGAAACACGATGTCGTGTTCGTGTTCAAAATTCGACACGAAATTGATACGATTTAGCTTTTTTCTGTCGCGTTTGTCGTGTTATATATGATTAGGTATTAATTAAATAAACAAAATTTTATTTTATTTTATCTTTGTCGTGTTGTGTTTGTTGTTTTTTAATCGATTCGTTTTCGTGTTAGTTAAAAAAAAACACGACATCATATCGTTTTCATGTTACATAAAACATTGTCTTGTCGTGTCAGATAAAAAACACGACACAATGGTCCGATTTACCACCCCTAATCTAAAGCAATGGCATCTCAGATGTAGTGATTTCTAACTTTAATGTGCTTGGTTCTCTCATGGAGCATGGAATCATTTATAAGGCATATAACATTTTGAATGTTCTAAAAAAATAGTAGTGAAAAATAAATCTCCACGAAGCTCATTCTAGGAACCTCTTAATCAATGCCATCAATCTTGCATTGAGAATCATCAAAGCCAAGAACTAAACTAACATCGTGAATTGGTTCAAAAGTGGTGAGCCAATCTTTGTGAGGTCACATGTGATATGTTCACATTGAATCAAGAGCCCATTCATTGTTGATATCGACACCCACAAGAACTTCTCCATTGAAGACATTATCACAAGCATATTTTGAAGATGGATTGTCATCTTTCTTTGAGTCGTTGTTCTTCTGTTTATTCCATGGATTACATTGAAGATAGTTTCTCTGAGATTTGAATAGGAGGATGGAAGCGAGCATAAAAGAATCAAATCATGATCCTCGTCATATTTGAAGTTTATGTAAGAACTTCTGTTTTAAGGGCATTTTGCTAGTAAGGTTTATGTAAGAACTTCAAGTGGAATATCATACTTCATTTTTGCCTTGGGATAAAATCGAAAATAACATGTAGATTTAGGTTGGAAATCAATTTATGGTAAGCAGGTTTAAAGGGATCAAATTGATTTGGAGCTTAAAAGCTAGGGTGTACAATTAAATCGATAGTTACCCGGACACCCGAATTCAAAGCAAAGTACAATGTACATTGCTTATGGTACAAATCACTATTGCATCAATTCATCAGATGTCATCATCATTCCTTTTAGCATATAGAACCAATACATTTATAATTTAAGACTTCTACAAAATTTGATTCCTGATAAAATCACACCCTTCCTCAACAACAAAAATAGTTTCAACTCATCTGTAATATGAGGCCATGAAATACAAACTCAAAGAAGTTACAGCTGTCACAATCACTTCCTGCACATTCATACAACTTATATCAGTCTCATATCCTCCAAGGGCATTTTAGACATATATGGTCTGTAACACTTTTCTTCAATATTTTCTGAAAAACACATACATAGAATCATGTACAAAAGGAATTATCATTCATAAATCATAATCATACCTGGTTGTTATACAAGGCAATAGGGACATAACCACTAATAAATTCGATCAAATTCACAATCCCAGTATATCCCTGAGATAGAAAAGGATTTTTTTTTTAAATTTCGAGTAAAAAAAAAAAAGATGTTTTCATTAAAACAAATGTCATAAATATATGACATACCAAGGATGCAATAGCTATACATCCAAAAGACAGTGCAAGAGAACGAAGCAACCGTTTCCCCATTCGCATCATGCGTCCTTCATCTTCACCTTCTTCCTACACCCAAATAAGCTCAACTGTAAGTAAAAAATAAAACTATAAAAACAAAAGCATATGGTATTTGAAATAATGAAAAAACAGTGTGTTTTGTCTTTACTGTAAATGTGGTGGAAACAGGTGGTTCAAATGCTTTTAACTTCTCAAAGATTCTATATACAAATACAAAGGATAAAAACTGCACAGGCTTCCAATCAGCACTTCGTGCAACTACAATCCAAGCAATCTGCAGAAATAAAAGCAAAGATGTTATATAAAAAAGAATACATGTTATATACTATTAAGTGATTAAGCCAAGTAACAAAACAAGTTAAGCTATTTGTACACTTACAAATGCAGCTGATATTGCCATGTTTATCCTTATGTCCTTCTCCTCAGACTTGGTGAACCTGAGAAAATGAAAATACGCACCAATTATCACAGAGCACATTGTAAAGAACTAGTGGAAAATTACTTTGGGTATTGTAAAAGTGTAATAATACCTTGGGCCCCATGGGATAATTGGTTGCTTATCGGCATATTTAATGTCCTTTGAAACCTACATTTCTCATTGAAATACAATAAGTAGAGTTGGAACTTGGAAACGAAGCAACATGTCAACTAGCTCAAAGATATACGATGTACCTGAAATGAACCAAATGTCACACCCTTCTTTCGATTTGTTAATTGTGCCATCATGAGTTTGTCATATGCTTTCTCCAACTGAAAAATGATATGTTTAAATTCAAACCCAATTGTTCATGATCGATGAAAGATGCATATTCTTAATTCTTGTATGGTAAATTGCTAATCACCTATTCGTTGAACTCAATTTGAATAAAAAGAAAGCACATAAAAGAGAGAGATGGGACATACAAGAGCAGCAGTCGCCTCATCCCCCCTTCTTTCAGCATCCCTGCGTTTTCTTGTGTAAGCTGCCTTCACCATATCAAATCCCTCAATGGGGTTCACGCCGAGAACCTGTGGAGTATGCCTTTTGATTACTTTCATTTCAATCACTGGATGAAAAGGATAGAGAATACTTGAAAAAGGTTACAAGTTCTTAACAGCTACTCTGTGGAATACAGTACTAGATAATAAATAAATATACTTGCCTCATAGGGATTTAACTCGTTGTCTGAACTAGAACTTCCAGCAGCTGAGGAAGCAGCGCAAACTATCTTTTGACTCAAGCGACATTTAGAAAATCTACAATTTAGAAATCGTGTCAATATAATCAGCTTATACCAATCAAAACCTTTTCTCAAATCGGAATTAAAGGAAAAACGTATAAAAGATACACCAACAAAAAGTTGAGAGTGTTCGAAAAATGTTTGTTATAGATACATGCTGTGGAGAAATTATGAATGCACAACACGAAACGCAATTCCAAAGCTATTTTACCTTACGAAGGATGGAGAGAAATTGGAAAGCGAGCTATGAACGAAGATACTCTTCTTGGCACACAAACGAGAATTGGGAATTTGAAAGACGTTGGATATAGCCAAAGCCATCGATGATGATGATGATGATGAGATGATATGTGTGTATGTGTGTGTGTGAATTTTGATCCTTTAGGGTTCTTTACTTCTTTTTGTTTGCAGGCGGAGTTTGGGCGTTCGTTCCATCCCGGTTCATGTTAATAAGAGGGTGTGTGGGAGTTTTTTTTTAATTAGAAAAGTGATTTCTGATAAAAGTAGTTATTTACTTATAGTGGTGTGGTAAAAAAAAAATTTAAAAAGTGCTTGGATAAGCTTTTACAGTCAATAAGTTAATAAGTTAAAAAGTGTTTGGCTTAAAAAGTGCTTTTTGAAGTTATTTTGGCTGAAAAGCCATAAGCAGTTTCAAAAAGCCACGTTTTCCATGCTTATTAAAAAATGCTTATTGAAGCTTATGGAAAAGTCATTCTGAAAAGTGCTTTTAAATTTGCCAAACACTTTTTTTGACTTATTAGCTTTTCAGAAAGCTAATAAGCAAATAAGTTATTTTCAACCGCAATCCCAAACACCCCTAAAATGAATAAAGTTGAATATTGAAAATAATTAATCCATTAATGTTCAAATTTATGACGTATTATATTTACTGATATGTACGATTGCATATATAAAAATAAATATGAAAATGTAAACAAAATGTATGCCAAAACCTAAAAAACTCGAATTTATTCTTACATGTAAATAAAAATAAATAAGTAAAATTATTTTTTTTAGTGTTAACAAATGAACGTTTAAACAATAAAAAAACATAATGTATGCGACCTGATTCATATGTAGAAAACCTACAAAAAAATAAACAAGAAAATATAAAAATTTATATCGAACTATAAACAAACTCGAATTTATACCAACATGTAAATGAAAAAAGTAAGTTTTAAAAAAAAATAGCGAACAAAAGTTCTAACTTTATATCGAAACGTTGAGTATCTCGAATTTATAACGACGCATACATAAAAATAAGTACGTAATAAATTAGCTTTTTAAGTTAACAAACGAAAATTATTAGAGAAAAAAACATATTATATATTATACATGTTAAGCAAGAAAGATTAGAACGTTGATGGTGTGAAAATGATATTTTACAAATTTTAAAGTTGAATGGTTTAAAGTGATATTTTACAAAATTAAAAGATGTTAATTTTTGGTAGATGGGCTAAACACTAAAGTTTAAAAAATTAGGATGAAAGTGATATTTTATAAAGTTCAAAACTAAGGGGGTCAAATTGACATTTTATAAAGTTGAGGGTGATAACTATAAGGAAATCATATTATATATACTACATGGGTTAAATGTAAAGCCATGTTTTGAAAACCGGACCAAACCAGTCGGTTTGACCGGTTCAACTGGGAACTGGTCCCGGATCAGATTCTTAAAGGCCAAAAAATTGTATTCATGTGAACCGGCAAATACCGGTCGAATCGGTAAAAACCAGTCCAGTTGAACTAGTAAAACCGGCCAAAACCGGGAATTTAAAAAAAATATATTTTTTGTATTTTTTATATTTTATATAATTAAAGTTAATAATAATGTAATTATTAATAATAATGTAATTATGATATCATTCAGTTTTTTTGGTTTTTGAGACTGATCCGACCGATTGGATCAGTTGAACCATCGAACCAGTAACATGGCTGGTTCAGTCTCCAGTCCGATTTTCAAAACATTGCCTAAAAGTTTGAAAATGAAAAGGAATAAAAATGACATTTTATAAGCTAACTGATAAAAAAAATGATGTTTGGTAAAAACTAGTTGATAAGTTGGTTGAAAGATATAAAATGTCATAAAATGATATTTAGAAGAATATGTTTTTTATAATTAATTAAGGATATATTCGGGAAAATTTTAAAATCTCCTAAAAAACTACTCAACATAACTTTTTGAAAAGATAGTTTATTATCTGTTTTTTGGTTTATCAAACATGATAATTTATGAGGAAAAAACTCAAAAAATAAATTAATTTATCAGTTAGTTGTAGCGTGTCAAACATAACTTAAAAATATACACATATCTTCAGAAGTTAACATGGCGACTTAGTCTTAATGTTTTTCGGGACGAAACAAGTGAAAATGTTAAAATATATGCATCTTTAGTTATAAATTTATGATAAGATATGTAGTGTAATAAATGTTACTATATTGTTTTGTTATCAACTTCTTTGTAAGATAACCGTAGCAGAGGCTTTCTTCTTGAAGATACTTTTTAGTCTTTTTGCACTTGTGCGTATCATTGATATTTAATTTGGAATTTCTATAGATTTTGATTAGCATGCGAATGCCAAGTATATTAGTTATATCTTGAACTTTAAGAAGTATAAGTTACAACCCTTTATGCACAGATCAATTATGCATAAATAATTCATTAATATTTGTCAAAAGTTTGAATAATAGAATTAAAGAAAAAGTAATTAAGAAATTCAATTTGGAACAACATAAAAATTTTAAAATATTAAATTAATGTATATAAATTAATTTACATTTCTTAAACTAAAGACCAATATTAGTTAATTTACATCAATAGTATAAACATGAAATATATGCATAAAGTATAAACATAAATATTTTATTTAAAAGTTGTAATTTTTTAATATATAATAACTAATAATAAAATCTAATAATTATTTCCCCATAAAAAACTATTCGCTAAAAAAAGTTATTTGTTGTTACCGTTTTGTGCGGACACTCATCTAGTTTAAATCTACATGTTGAGAAGGTATCAAATTATTTACCTAAATAGACGAAGACAAAAAATAATGACAACAAATTAAATTAAAATAAAATATTTATATTTTAATTATTCATATATTAAAAAAAAAAAAAAAAAAAAAAAAAAAAAAAGATTAGTGTTTATCACTGTTATTAAGATCGAGATCCTAATCGTGGGATGGTAGGATCTTACAATCTTATAAGCCAAAAAACGATTTGTATCGCAATAAGATATGTTTTGTAGCAAGATCAGATATGAGATTGTAAGATGGCATTATAGTACAATAATATATTATTATTATTATTATTATTATTATTTTGTAAGTTTTTTATTGTCTAAAAATATAAACTCTAAACTTTTTCTCAACATTAGAAAACTGATCTGACATATTAGTTCAATATCTAATGCATAGCCTTGAAAATTTATCCTTTCTACTCGAAATCTAGCCTCAAATTTCATACATTGATGTTGAAAACCTAACATGACATATCACGTATAGTCAATCGTATGACCTCACAAAATAAGGTGTCCAAGATATACAAAGATTACAAAGGATAATATCAAAAGTCACAAACTAGGAAAAAATATATTATATCTACAATTATACATGTCAACTTTATCTTCGGGAGTCGTCATTATCTTTTGGAATATCTCCAATAAAATTGTGACGCAAAAATCCATTCGTAAAACTTTTTTAAAATGCATGTTTACGAATCGTCTTTTATAAGGATAACCAAAAGTCCAAAACCATATCCGGTAACATTGTTTCTGTTTGTTTGGTCCGATTCTAGTTTGGCTCACCATTTCCCTTTGTCTAAATCGATGTTAGGGATTCACAATGCCTTGACGTTCTTTAAAATGATAACAATACTTTTCTATAACTTTAAATCCTTGATTTTGTAATAAATGACTCCACGGGGTATATGGATATATAATTAAACCATGATACCATTCATTTATATCAAAAAGGTTATGGTCACTTTTATGATCAAAAGCGAGATAGGATTAAGATGGTTTGAAGTAGGAAGTGGGCGTGTCAATCCAACCCTAAGTTAGGTCCAAAAGATGAACTTGGATGATTCAGCCATAGGTGGAAGTGGCCCCTCAAAATAGTTCGTAACAATTAAATTTTATATTCCCTTTAAGTTATATTTGCAATGACACGTTAATTTTATCAAAACTAAATAACGACCACCTCTAACATAAAAAAAATACAATAACCACCCACCAATAATCCATATTTTATTTTCGCATTAAACAATGAAAAAATTATTAGTTTTTGTCCCAACAAATGGGTAAACATAATGTCACCCTACGTATATGTCTATAAGACCAAATTTAAATATTGCATCACATTTATAGCGTTTTCAATAAGAAATTCTTAAATGTTCAATATTAAAAATCATGATTTGTTTTTTAATCAGTAATATCAATTATGTTTATCTTGTTATTTTCTTTTTATGAGTTTCATCATTCATGTTCTATATACTTAATCATCTTTGTTCAATAATTTCACATTTTACTCCGAGATGCCCTTACCATTCTTTTGTCTATTAAGATTATGTGATTGATGAAGAAAGAAAAATATATATATTCGATTATATAATTTTTTATTTTATGTATTACTATGTATTTGATGATAATATTGAAATTATCCCAAATTAGTGTTCATTTATGTCATAAGATTTCAATTTTCTCAAAGATTTGCTTAATTTGGCAAACTTAGATGGAAAGAAGAAATTGATAGTTGTAAGTTGATAGTTTATAGCCGTAAAGTATAGTTTTTATTTGTATGGAAGTGTTATGTAAAAATAGTTGTAATTTTTTAAGAGTTTTTAAGAGGTGAACAATAACACAAAATACTACCAAAAACTATTTGAAATATTGTTTAAACTAAAAGATTTAAGTTCATACATTTGAATAATCTATTTATTTAATTCAAAATTCTCTTAAAAAAAATAAAAACTAAAATATCTCAAAAAGCATGTCTCCAAATATGTCATTTGTCTACAAAACTTAGGCCGTTCGGTATACCGGCGACCAAGGGGCTCGTGGTCTACATGGTCATGAGGGTTGTCTGTGCATACCAGACCGGACCTTCGTGGTCATGGTGATTTGTGGTGGGGAGGACGGAAGACCACGACCGTTGCCTTTCTCAGCCAGTCTTCTTCTTCTCCTTATCTCTAAGTTCGTGGTCGTCTCCGGTATACCAATACCGGTCTGTGGTTTGTGATGGTCCTCGTGGTTTCGTTGTTCGTAACAAGCATTACAGATGGTCTTATACAAGTAATCGTGATTCATATAGGCCAGCACCCATATATGTTAGGCAGTATGTGATTTATGTGCTTATATGCTACGATATTATGTGTTATTGGTAGCGTGAAATAGTCCCCGTAACCGGTTGAAAGAGACCGAATGGGTAAGCCAGCACCTAAATATGCTAGACAATATCCGG